TTATAGTGGGGCCTTCTGACTGTATAGTATCCCCAATTATTATTATTATCATCATAATTTCAGACAAAAGAAGCGTTTGAGCAGATTTGGCAGATACATGGTTAGAGAGAGACACAGATGATATAAGTGTGTTGTTTTTTAAAATAGTTTTAGTAGAGGTTTTAACTCATTCGCTACGTATTATTTTCGGCTTGTGGACGATTTTTTTTTCGGGAGAGCGAAAGAGATGATGACTAGTGGGCAGTTAAAAGGTTTTGGGGCCACAAATTCAAATAAATATCAACGTATTATATACCAACATTTTCAGTATGGTTTGTAGAATAGATCTGTAATGAGCGCCAGAAGATTAAAGGTGTTACAAGAGAGAAACAAGCATAAAATAGAAGGAGGGGAGATAAGGACGATAGAAGTTTGATAGGAAAGAAGGAGCAAACCACACCAGAACACCCGCCAACCACCCACTATAAATGTGTGTGCATGTGTGTGTGTGTGTGCGCGCGCGCCAGTGTGCGTATGTGCAATCATGTCTGTGAGTATTATTGTATTTCTGAGGTGCAAGAGTGGCTTCAGGTTTCTGAGTGAATTTTCACGATGCGACGTCATCACAGTGAATTGATAGCAATTGAAACTACGAAACTACGCAATATAACTAGTTAGTTGCAACACGTGAAAGCAAAATGCAAAGAGAAAGAAAAACCAGCATGAAGGGGTCAGCTTTCGCAGGTATAACTAATCGCTTTGACTACACAAGAGGAGCAAGTGATTGAAACAATTGAAAAAAATACTAGACTAAACAACTGACCGATTTGCCAGAGCTGAGGAAGGAGCTTGCTTAAAAAAATAGGCTGTGTAGGTGCACAGCTAATTCAACACCTTTCAGCTGTGTCAGGATTGTTTGGCCAGCATACATACTATTCAATGGAAGGCAAAGAAAGAGATGGACCGACAACATTGCATAGTGGACAGAGAAATCCTTTGCCCAAACTCAAAAACCCCGGGTTACAGTGGAGGCACCTGCTGAGGCTCTCTATCATACAGTGCCCCTACGATCCTCGAGGATTATATGATCAGTAGATCTAAGCAGTAAGTGATACTATTCAAACCAACTCATATACTTTCAAACGTGAACACTGAAATGGTTTGACTTGAGTGTTAGAGATCCTAAGTAATCTACCCTTTTATTTTTGGGAGGAACCAATTATAATGCAATTAAATGAAGGTTGACAGTGCGATTTATAACAAGTGAAGGGAAGGTGTGATAGTGTTCACTTCTGCCCCCCCCCCCCCATCCCCAAACACACACACACACCCAAATGTGTTCCATTGATCTTCGCAACATTGTTCATGCTTGTGGGTATCTGGGAGTGGTTTTCAATCGCTGTCTATCCTTCCTTCAAAGATCACATAGACGGTGTTGTGGAAAGGGCAAAGAAGGGCTTGAATGCAGTAAAGGTCATGGCGGCTTCAGGAATGGAACAAAGGTTACCGCTTCTTATGTATCAGCAGCTGGTCTTAGCAGTAATCGATTATGCGCTTCACAAAAACCAACTGGACAAGTTGGATCGAGTTCAAAATAAAGCCACGCGCATCATACTAAGGCTGAACCAGGGACGCCAATTATCTGTATGAGACATGTATTGGGGCTCATGTCAGTGGAAAACAGGTCAGACACAAAGTGGCTCAGGTCAGGGCGTACATGAGGGTGGCGGCCGAAAAGCAACACCCACTTCACGAAGCCATTGAGGAGCAATCAAGGGAAATCGCCTAAGACGAGGAGCTTCTTGGATGGCTGAAGCTAAAAACACCATCAAGGAAGTCTGCCCACTGGAAGATATAAAGCGGGGCGAAGAATGGATAAGATGAATGAGAGACAAGCAGGAAGATTTTCGGAAAGGAAGTGATTACGCTGAACAGAGAATGTAGAGAGTGACCGCAGGGGGCGACAGATGCTGAGATACGACAACTGATTGAAAAAAACTCATGGCACTGTGATGTTGTTGTATACACGGATGGATCTGTTAAATAAAAACGAGGGGAAAAATCTGGATGGGGCTTCTCAGCAAGAGTGAGTGGCAGATTGGTGCAGGAACAGAAGAGAGCATACGATATGACATCATCTAGCATGAGAATGGAGATAGAGGCAATCACTCAGGCTCTCAAATGGGTCACAACAACTCGACAAGCACATATATGTGATCTTTGTCACAGACTCTCACAGAACTCTGAGGAAGATTGAGAGTGGGAACCTTAGAGCTGAAAGGATGAAAAAGACCACATGGATCTTCACCCCGGGCCATACTGGAGTCAAGGGCAATGAGCGGCCTGATGAGCTCGCTGGGAAAGCAAGACCTGAAGGGAAGCTGTGCCCTGACAAACCTGAAACTGTACGTTCAGTCAGGGAAAAACGAGAAAAAGAACAAAAAGAGTCAGAATACCATCATCTTGAGCGACTTCGTGAGCTTGGAATTGGATGGGGAGCCTGTAGAAATTCAAGACTTAGTGGGAGGAGCAGAAGGCTGTGGAATCAACCATTGCTTGGAACCGTCAGCATCTACACACTTCGAGATGTGCTTCTTCAGGGGATGGAGCAGTTATGGGGATGCCCCTTGTGCAGTGATGCCGGTCCTTCACAAAAGTAAACAAGTAGATCTAGATCTACCAAATATTGATCGGAATAAGACGTCATAAAAAAAGAGTCAAATCCTAGGAGGTTTATAATCAAGAAACAGAGAAAGCTTCCACAATACAGGCAAAACTACGTAGAAACGATGGCTACTAGACTCTAGATCTAGATTTAGATTCTAGAGTCTAATGCTGGCGTTTCAAATAGCATGGGAGCTATTCAGAACGCAGTGTTTCAAATAGCACGACGGGAGCTAGATCTAGATCTAGATCTATTCAGAATGTGGCATTGCAAATAGCGCCTGCCTATAATTATACTAAGGCGCTACACTACTATAATTCTTTGTCTCTTACTCATGGTTTGGATAAACTAGGCCTAAAGTAAGTAAATAAGGTAAAACTGAAGCCCCCCTGAAGAAACCCCCCTCTACTCTTGGATCTAAAACCAGTGAATAACAACAATTGCGGCTGCGGGGTGGGAACAACCGAAAAAGCGCCAACTGAAGATTAGCAGACCACCTGCCGGGAATACTTTTTGGCACCAATTCCAGATCTACATCTAGATATCTAGATCTAGATCTAAATCTAGATTCTAGATCTAGATTTAGATCTAGATCTAGAGATCTACAGTAAGATCTCTATTATTTTTGTGTTTTACTTTAGCTTTAGGCTTTAGTCCTGGTGCACTGGTGGGGAGGGGGGGGGTGTGCAGGTGCAACCCCCCATCCCCCCCCCACCCCTTTCTACTGGAGTAGATCTAGTGGTGGTCTGCTAATGTTCAAAGAGGCCGCAAATAAACTTACAGCAAATTAGTCTCTTTCACAGTAGCCTTTGAATAACGAGGATATGGAATTTAGAGAGGTGCAGTGTTCGAGATTGCGAAGGTCAATGTTTTGTTGAGATTCAGTCAGGATAGCTACAGTTCACTTCCGTCTTTTGAGAGGTAGGCCTAGGAGTGATGTCCCTTAGTATCGACGTATCTGTGGCTGTTCAGTGAAATATTTCCAAGATTTTATAAGTCAAAGTCTTATTGAAAAATATGAGAAAATAAAAGTATATTAACAATATTCTCTCTTTTAATATTTTTTATTCCCAACGTTGACTGCTTCATTACTTTTTTTTCAATTGTAAAAAAAGTTTATTGGTTTGTCATCACGCGCCGATCCCTATTGGTTCCGTGTGTGTTGTGTGTATTGTGTTGATGATGAATGAACTGAATATTTGTCTTCACTAGGCTAAAATCACTTGTTGTAGAAGAGCCCACTGGTGAAAAAAAAAGTTTTCCAAACTTTTATACCCCTCAACTTTAGCGCTTCTTTGGCAAGTGAGTAGCCTTCTTACTTTTTTAGTTGTTCAACATTGCCGTAAAATCTACTGTCAACTGAAGTTTGCTCTGCAGTTCACAAATTTATTATGATCTGATGAATGATGGGATGGTCGGTTGTCTTTTTCTCTCCATCTTCGTCTCATCCCCTTATCAGCACCGTCATCAGTTCGTCATAATTATAGCCATACTCACGACTCTGGTGAGGGAAACCAGACCTGTCAGAAAGTGTAACAATAAGCTTGTAACTTCATTAATGTTTCACAAAGTAGATTCTAATTCTTACTTCTACTAGACTATATGATGAGACTACTCTATGTTTTTCATGTAGAGTGGATCTCTACTCTAGAGGCCTGTCTACTGTATTTCAAGTATTTGTCTTGACTGACTGTAGATCTATGCCTAGGGTCAAAATTTCAGAATTGGCATTACATCTAGATCTAAATCTAGATCTAGATCTAGATTATTGCTAGATCTAGATCTAGATCTGTTGC